TTTCAGTATATTCATTCACTAAACTCCTTCATGGTTCCAATCTATTTACCTATTCAATTCTATTCTATTTCATTACACAATAGTATTTATTTTTATTATGTGAATTCTACCATAAACAGAACAATTAGTATTCAGTCACATGGATTTGAAATTGAAAACAAAAAACAATTTACAAAAATGAATGATTAACAACATTTATCAATTTAATTATTGTGAAAAGCAGAGAATCAGCGATAATGTTGGATAGTGTAAAAGTAACAGTAATAGAATATGCTACAGTGTGCCTACATACACTTCCTCTCCTCTATTATTAGTAGATGATTTATGATCAAATGATAGATAAACTGTTATCACGTATAAAAATAAACTTTTTGTTGGCATACAGGTTCATTTTACCATTTTAAGTGTTTTTTCCTAGAAGGAAAGCACAGCCTTTATGTTGATAAGGATGGCCAATTAGCTTAGCAGTATCGATAACAAATACTGGTTGCCAGGGGAAAACAGATCAATGTTATGTACAGGTTTGATTGAGTTAGGGAGCTCTCCTAGTGTGCAGTGTGTGTGACCTCATCTCAATTACAGAGTACTGCAGCTGTTTTACATAGTTTAGTACAGGCTGACCATTCAATGTGTGTGTACGTGTAGATACATGCAAGTGAACAGCAGACAACACCATTGTTACAGTGTTTTCTTTTAATGCAAAGAATTTCTATCTAAGTGGAGTATCTGTCTCTTACACTGTTGGATTAACTACTTTCCTGTGTGCGGACTTGCATGATGATTAACTGTGCCAGAGTGCTGCCATCTGCTATGGAAATATTAGAATGGCAGCTTGGCATTGGATTTCACTTCACTGTGTCTACTGCGTAGTAACTACACACTTTCAAACACGTCACAAACTAAAGAAAGAAGATAGACTGTTAATTACTGTTGGACTCAAGATTTTGACATGATGCACATAACCATAGTTGTTTTCAGCATTACAGTGTTTTCTACATCAACGACACATAAACACTGTTTAGCCGGGTATGTTTTCTAAGCTTTGCTGGAATGCCGAGTATGTCAAAGAAGAATGTTGGAGAAAACTCTCCAGTATGGGGGTGAAGCCCAGCTTTCCAGTGGTTGTTGAACCAATTTTATACGAACCACAGACACATTTCACAAGCACTGGGCGCCGAAGGGTTATTAATAATCGCAGAATGGTGGTTAAATATCAGCTGACCACATTTCAGAAGATCAACAACCAAATATATCAGGACGTTGGAACTCAAAGACGTATGACTTTACTTCCTAAAAGAAAACTTCATAGGGCAGATTTCAAAAGACTTTGTCAAAAATATCCCCGATGGGGGGTGGAACATCTGGCTGAGTTTCGTTTTGAATTTATCAAAAGTGACATCGATGAAGATGGATTACTAAACTTTGTGGAGTACTGCAGCTCTTTGGACCGACTGGATGATGACAGCTTAGAAGAGGACCGGCTAAGTGTGTTCCAACAACATGTCTCTTTGGAATTCCCAGAGCATGTTGATTTTGAAGAGTTCATACACTGTTGTGATCTTCTTTACCAAGCAAGAACTAAGCAAGCTGACAATGTCCAATTAATTGAGGTGGAACCATGTGGCAATAGCAATAGCAGTGGTGACAGTCTGGAACATACAGTTGAAGAAAATAACAGAAATTCATGACAACGTAAATAACAATAGTTACGTACTCATGTGCCTTTGTGAGGATGCCAAAACATGATTTAAGAGGGCATCAGCTCATGTCTCTCTTGTTGTAGATACAAGGATAATAGATTCCATGACACCACTGAAAATGTCTATTCATGATACAGACAGTTAAGTATAATCTACCAAGTAATTCATAGTTAAGTAGCATTATTTTCAGTCGTATCACACTTTGGAAGATAAAATGCCCCATTTCACAACATAAAACTAACGCCTCACGATTAGTTGTAAGAATCTATCTGAATTCACTATGCTGATATTTTCTACTTTGCATTACATTCTGTACAACTTTATTTAACACATTTACTGGCAGGATAAAGAAGCCATGTCAGGGTGTTTTTTTTTTTAACTACATTAAAGATCAAACAATTACAAAAACTAATTTTGCTGCCTTCTTTTCTTTATTCTCCCTTTAAACTAGCCTTAATTACAATTTTAATTCTCCACGGCAACAATTTTCTGTTTAAACAAGTATTTCTGATAGCAAGGTATATTGTAAAGCTAGTTATCCGGTAAATCATTTATTTCTTCATGAAAGTGTAAAATCATAGGTTATTTCAATTTGATGTTATAAATTATCATGTCTAGGTATAAAGTTATGAATAGAGAAACAATCCAATTATAGTCATTGTAGGAAGCAACCAATTGCAGACATTGATGTGACAACACTCTATACCATGTGTACAATAGGAATGAATCTCTAAAAACCTGAAAAATTGTTCATGTTTCAAGTCTAATGCGATGTGAAATATCAAATTAAAATACAATTTTAATGGAAATTAAACATAAAAACAAGAAAACATTGCAATGTTTTTAAGAAAAGAATCAGCATTTTTCTGTTCCCTTTATTTGTGTGAGAATATAATATAACCAACTGGAAATACCAAGCCACATTTAAAGAGTAGTAATTACTGCCAATGTTTAATGCAGAACTATTTTTTTATTAATAATAATATACATCAGAATGCATGTCACTTTAGAACAATGGCAATTATTTTTCATTAATTTAACAACACATGACTGCCACAGATTTGTGTGTCAGTATGTTATTGACAATTTATGGTTTAAGTGGGTAAAGTGGCATGTTTAATATGACAAACCTTGAGATACAGAAAATGTAGTTTCAATTATGCCATTCCCATCAATGATTTATCTCCTTTGTTTAAAACAGAGCTGTACAAAACAACTTGTATGAAATTATAATTATATATTAATATGATTATATTAATATAAATAATGACTCAAAGCTGTTGTCAGTTTCCAGGAATGCAACTGAACACACACCGGGCTGCTGTATGAAAACAAAATTAATACTTAAAATGACAGAAAATTTGAATATTTTGGCAACAAATATGTTATAAAATGTTCACTGACAAGATGGATAACATGTTAATCTTTTCCTTCAAGTTCAGGTCTGCAAGTATTGATCACTCATGAAATGGTGGATATGATCCTACTATCAAACTACGTCTCACATTTCATACCCGGTACTATGAAATTAAAATAAATAAATAAATACAAATCACCGATAATAAAAGAATCTTTTTATACAAAATAGATATTTTACTTAATTTAGTAATAAACATTACCGTTACTATGGTATCATGCATTGTAAATAACTCAAACAGGAAATTGAAGAATATTTTTAAAGCATAGTAACCATTGTGTACGTATATGTTTTGAAAGAAAAAATCAATTATTACTGATGGCAACGCATGTGTGGATGATCTCTAGGTATGGGTGTAATAGGTGGTAGAGTATGTAATAAAGTTCAGACCTTTACTCTGGTATTAGTATTACCAGCATGTGATGATAAGATTATAAAACTAAATCTACCGGTTAATTTGTCCTATCACCCACTTAGTATGGTAACAGGTGCAAGACAAAAATAAATTTCCAACACACTTAAACACAAACAGAAGAATCAAATTTCCATGACGTTTTTTAAAACAGATTTTAATTGTAAGTTAAATATTTATAGTAAAATGACAGACAATCAAGTACTACAAGAAATAAATTGTACAATAAATATTTGTCATGTTCAGCTGGAATTGTTTTCCCATCTAAATGAATGTATCTATATGCTATGATACATGAAACACACACAAAAAGAAATCATTTTTGTTGTCTCTTCAGCTCCCATTTGATTTGAAATATCATGCTACATACAAATTACAAGGTAGACTTGATGAAAAAAACAACTCTAGATGAAAATTGATTGCAACTTAAACAGATGACGAAAATCAATAAGTGACGACAAGCATGGCCTTTGTCATTTTTTAAATTCAATTGTGGTCATCAAATCTTCATCAACTCTACATGCTAATCAGATGTCTGTTTTGGTTTTAAAAAAATCAACCAGAAAGGTTTCCATGCAATGTGAATGTGTGGGGATAGAAATGGATATATTTGAATTTTTCATCTGTCCAGAGAATGATATTATAAACAGGTATTGATGTCGTTCATAGTTACACTCTACTATAATTAGCCAGGATACTGAAGAAGAGTAACTAAATACTTTTCAGAATTCCCTCCTTGAAAAAACATCATATTCTAATTCCCAGAAAAACATTTCAAAAATATATATGATTAGAGTTTTATTTTTTTTATTTTTTAAAGCTATTTCAGCAGCTGCTTTGTTTTTTCAGAACATGGAATATTATTATTGTCAGTGCCTTTTGTATTTATTTAAGTTAATGTTCAATGGAGGCTGATGTATGGATATTTGTTTTGTTTTGTTTTTACACAGTGCAGTAGGTCAGGCATTTCACTTTCTGCCATCAGATCATATTTAAAAGCATAATTATTTACAAAGACTTCAAAACAGCATTATCATTACTGATGGTAAAGATAATCATAAAGATCTGATAATATTCAACTCAGAGAAAAAAATTGCTTTTTGATGACAGAGTGGGACAGAGAACAGACGCCACTTCCTGGTTTTACACATTACTTTAAGATAACCAAAGAATAATTAATAATTAATTTAGAATAAATTTTATTTAAAAAAATATTTCACAGTTTCACCCACCAGCAATTTTAGTCCATCCATTATTTTGAGACAAAAGATATTATTATTAATTATCTGTCCTTTTTCCTAATACAGTATTGCTATTTTACTATTCCTACATGTACTTCAACTGTTTTAGTTAGTCAAATCAAACAAAAATTGTCATTTCCTTATAATAATTTTGTATTATTTCATGGAGAGTTGTTGTAGGAGAGGGAGCTAGTGTACATCAACAATCATACCACAAATAAAACTGAAACTTAACTGAACACATTGTGCTTAAACAGATCTCTCTCCCTACCACCACCACCACTTCTGAACACATTGTGCTTAAACAGATCTCTCTCCCTACCACCACCACCACTTCTGAACACATTGTGCTTAAACAGATCTCTCTCCCTACCACCACCACCACTTCTGAACACATTGTGCTTAAACAGATCTCTCTCCCTACCACCACCACCACTTCTGAACACATTGTGCTTAAACAGATCTCTCTCCCTACCACCACCACCACCACTTCTGAACACATTGTGCTTAAACAGATCTCTCTCCCTACCACCACCACCACTTCTGAACACATTGTGCTTAAACAGATCTCTCTCCCTACCACCACCACCACTTCTGAACACATTGTGCTTAAACAGATCTCTCTCCCTACCACCACCACCACTTCTGAACACATTGTGCTTAAACAGATCTCTCTCCCTACCACCACCACCACCACTTCTGAACACATTGTGCTTAAACAGATCTCTCTCCCTACCACCACCACCACTTCTGAACACATTGTGCTTAAACAGATCTCTCTCCCTACCACCACCACCACTTCTGAACACATTGTGCTTAAACAGATCTCTCTCCCTACCACCACCACCACTTCTGAACACACTTGTACTTCATTGTTACAACCAAGTTTAAACTTTTTCAATCAAAAACCATACAATAAACACAACATTAATACAAATACTGTATTATCGGGATAACAATTGCGACAAATGTCACCTGTTACTAATCTGACTATAGAAACCAGTTTTTAGAAACATATTTGTATCCAAATGTTGATTATATTTGCCATCTCGATCAACAACAGTAACTTCAAAATCAATCAATTGTATTGAAACAACATCCTCACTTCCTGTTATTCATTATATATACCAATATGATGGTACATTTACTCTTATCAGAAGAGTACATAAACCATAACATGCATGCGTGCATTGTACAGTCTAACAGGTCATTAAAGTAAATCTTATACTGACCATAAACTCACCTCTGTCATTTACATACTGGTATAGACATGTGTATCTAAAACAACAAATATGGTTACCAAGGTACTGGTAAAATATGGTTACCAAGGTACTGGTAAAATATGGTTACCAAGGTACTGGTAAAATATGGTTACCAAGGTACTGGTAAAATATGGTTACCAAGGTACTGGTAAAATATGGTTACCAAGGTACTGGTAAAATATGGTTACCAAGGTACTGGTAAAATCACTTGACAATGTCTTTTTTTAAGCTCAATGGTATCTTACAGTGAGCACTATTTTTGCATTATTAAGTATTAAGTATATGACTCTAGTTTTGTGCTTGCATGTATCCATCTGTATATCTGGAGTTGTCTCTTGAATATTTCTGAACCAATTTTCACAAGACTATACATCAGCAATTTTGATTTTATGATTAGCATGAAATACAACACTCAGTCAATTCAGTTTAAATTTGATACATGACATAATAATTTACATGTGCATGTCAGACCATTGAGTTTCAACATATTATCAACCATTTCTCAGACATGATTGGGCCAGTTTTATTTAAATTTACATAGGGGTAATGTTTTACTAATTCCTGTTCAGACAAATCATACCATGCACATGCATTTGTTTCAAGATCCAAGTCATGATGACATTTATTGTGACCGTTAATGTTAACAAGCAGCCTATCAGCTGAGATAGCTCCGCTGTTAGCAATGCACATTTCAATTAAAGAACTGAAGACATCATTAGAAAATGAACAATATGTATAGTATCAAAGCAATCAGACTTACAATTTTCACAAAATGAACAAATCTGAGAATTATCCACATGTAGTACCAATATATGTAATATCAAAGCAATCAGACTTGCGGTTTTTAACAAGAAGTCGAAAATATCACTTTTTACCAAAAATGACAAAAATATTCACCAAAATTAGAGAATTGAAGATATCGTCACAAAATGAACAAATCTAAGAGAGGTCCACATGTAGTACCTATATATGTAGTATCAAAGCAATTGGACTTGCGGTTTTTAACAAGAAGTCGAAAATATAACAAGTACATG